GCGGCCCCGCGCATTCCTTCTCCTCCGCGGGTTCGGCGGGATCCCCGCCTTCCGTTCCGCTGGTCCCGGCTTGACTGGCTGTTCCTCCTTCCTCGGTCCCCTCTGTTCTAGGTCCGGGCTTCCTGGCTGGCCTCTCTGCCTGTGTCCCCCCTCGGCCAGCCCTTCCCTATAGCTCCTGCCGTGCCTCGGAGGTGATGGTCGTGGTGCCGTAGGACACAGCAGAACCCGGGGCTGTCCCGCCTTCCTGCCCGACGGCTCAGCCCTGTTTGTTTGTGTGTAGCCGCCTTCGTGTGCGAGTGCTGCTCTTGTTGCTCTATCTGTGATTAGTGGAGGCAGAAAGAGTGAATTATGTGTGGTGAATATAATGCAGATACTTAAGCGCTCAGGTAAAAAAAATGTGTTGATGCTGTGCCAATCATCAGTGCCAAGGTACAGGGTCTAACTTCCTTACCTGCTTTCTGGCATCCTTATTATGCAACTCATTATCTTTCCATGTGTGTTTCAGGCTATTCTAATTTTCTGCTGGGTTTACGTGCGCAAGTATCAGAGTCGGCGGGAAAGTGAAGTGATTTCTACCATAACGGCTATCTTTGCCTTGGCAGTTGCTCTTATCTCATCAGCACTACTACCAGTGGACATCTTTTTGGTTTCGTACATGAAAAATCCAAATGGTACATTTAAGGTATGGACATGAAAACATGCTAATCGCCGCTTCAAAAGAGCACTTGTGTTGAAGAGAATCTTCTTGGATTCTCAGAAGTGTTTAAAATCGGTGCTAATACCTGCTCTAGTGCCTGAGAGTTTTTTGAAAGCTGAGAACTAGTACTAGGAATATAACACTGATCTGTGTTTGTTTGAACTGCATTTCAGTTGTCATTTCTACTGTTTATATTCTCTTCACTTCTGAATGCTCATTCCTTCTGTTGTGCTAAAAGGAGTATGTATAACATCCATACTTGTAAGGGAGAGCCTGAGTTAATAACGTGTTTTTTAAAGAGTTAAAGTTGGAAAAGCCCTTAGGGGAGGGGAATGCAAGTAGTATCACTTCTTGGCTGATACCAACTGAACTAGGGTCTTTGTTAACTTAAGCTGTTCAGGCTTGCTGTTCACAATGAGTTCTTAATGAGATAAGTACTTGTTATAGTCTGCTCTAAGCATTATTGTAAGCGTTCTTCACAATACTTAAAGCATTGACTTTTTAAATTTACCTGGAGGGTTCTTGAAGGCATTGACCCAGTGTCTTTGTTAGGACACAGCCATTAAAAACAGGTCAAACTGGAGCATATTAATAACTTGAATAACAGCTTAGTTTGGTTTGGAGCCTACCTGCATCTGTAGTGTAAGAGGTGATCCTGCAAAAAAAATGAGAGCGTGGGCAGATGGTAAATACCTGCACTCTAGACTCAAAGACTTCATTTCTTTCCAGCCCTACTTACATAGGAAAACCTAGGTCCTGCCAGGTCCTCTGTAATGCTTCAGAAAGAGCTTGTTGCCAATACAGTCCCTTTTGGCTGATGCTCACGTAAATGCAACTCATAAGAAACCTTTAGAATAGAGCTGTGATGTGATTTTTGTTATATGTATTGTTCAGTGATAACAGAATAAATTAAGCTATTGTTCAGCTGTTGTTAGAAGTTTGTATCTTCAGACATTTTTTATTTATATTTAAAATAGTTGTAGAAGGTGAAAGAGACCTTTCATATATCCTACTAGCAGTTCAAAGAGAATAATACTGAGAATACATGAAGCCTGACTAGCTAGAGAAGTAACAATGATGGAACTAGGCTCAACTGAAAAATGCACATCTGCTGGGCACTAAGCAAAATTTCCTGTTGCAAAGGAGACTTATTTTGTTAATGGATGTATCCTCTAATTTGAGATACAAACCTGTGAGGAGAATAGGAGGTCAGATGTGGTCATGCAGTTGCTACAGTTGTAAGTATGATTAATGGAAGGAAAACTACAGTGTTTAAAAGACTGCTTTTCTTGACTTAAATTTCTTTGTTAATGGCCTCATGCTCTAGTAACATGGGTTGGGTAGATTCTGTTTAAACTCTGTACCTGGAAGCAAGCTTTCATGCTTGTGATAGGGCTTTTCTTTCTTTAAAGTACCTTTGCCTTGCTTTTGAGGAATCTTGCTTCTGCTTAGTTCCTAATGTTTGTAGGTGCTGCTGGTGGCCTGTTGAAACAAAGTTGGTCCATGCACCCTTGAAATATTCTTCCTTCTTTTTTTTTAAGGCTTTGCAGCAATAACATGAGATCCTCTGATATTAATACATAAGATCCAACACAAGTGTTGAAATTATGAAATAGGAATGTTAATGTAGTCTTCCTGATAAAGTTGAGTGGATCTGAGGTCAGGCAGAACATACAAACCTGTATGTAAGCACACAGTTTTATTGGTAATTACAGTTTAGGAGTCAAGTTAGAAAGATGACTGCATCCTTAGTATGAGGTCTTAATTAATATTTGAAGCTTTTAACACTGTCCTGGTTAACATGTTTCTTTTCTGATACTGCTTCACAAGCAGGACAGACTGGATTGTGTTCAGAATATTTTCAAGAGACTACTTTCAAAGTATCTATCTTTCAAACCCAGCACCTTCAAAGCCCTACATCTGATGCTGGGATTGGAAGGACTATGACCCTGGCAAGAATCCTTTGTTGTTTTGAGTGGCCAGAGTGAGTAAAGTCCTTGCCAAAATCATCTTCTCAGTGAATTTTTGAGGCAGATCCAGGTAGCAGATGTGGTTAATATTCTCTGTAGATAAAACATTAGTTCATCAGAAAACTTTGCAACTGGATGATTTCAGAGCTTATGCCAAAAGAGCAGTGGCAGTTACCCAGATCCTAGGTACACAATTTTTTTTAATTTGTGTACTCTTTTACTCTATGTCCCAACTGTAATTCCTGGTATCAGTGTTAGAGATGAGAAGGTCAAGGATGCTCAGCTTACAAGGAAAAGAACTATATGTGAACTTTCTGTTCGTTTTAATATGTCTGACCCTGCTATCAACTTGTAGATATTTTTTAGGTTTTTCTGTGAATGAAACTGCAGTAAACTTGGGGAGGTTAAATTCATGTAATAATCTCATGGTTCAAAATTCTCATTCTGAATTGTATGTTCAGGGGCAAGTGAAGGTGTGTATGCTGGCTGCAGGGATTGATTTAATTGTCTGAAGTGTAATACCCAGGCAGATTATACTTCTCTTAAGGCTGTCAAAATGATGCTACTTTCTGAATGAATTGCATTAAAACAGTGTAGCACTTTTTTCCATCATGTGCTCTGAAGTGTTTTCCTTGACAAGGGCCATATACTATATCTTGGTCAGCCTCTGTTAATCTTGAGGTTCTGTCTGTTTTTACAAGGCTATTAAAATACTTTGTATATATATTTCTCTTAAGATGAGTGTCACCTTTTGACTCAAGTTTGACAACAATGCACTTGATCCCCTCCCACCCAGGGAAGGAGACAGAAAAAGAGAGCGACTTTGCTGGATTGAAAACTAACCTACACAGCTTTAATTAAGTACTAATTATATAAGAAAATATATACAATTATATACAAATATGTTCAGATATGTGTAAAATTCTCTCACCTCCCCCCACCCCCAGCAACTCCCACAGGACTCTCCTTAACTGCGAACAGTCCCAAAAAGTTCCAGAGCTGCTGGAGAAAGCATAGAGTGATGAGGGTCAGGAGAGCTCAAGCGTAAGGGTTGACATTGATGGATGGACAGAGTCCTCCCCAGATGCTGGCCATGGACGGAAGAGAAGGGAAGAAGAAGCAGGAAGGAAGTTGTCTTCTGTGATCTCTGACTGTCCTCTGAGTTTATGTAGATATATGGAATGGAATATCTCTGGCCAATTTTGCTGTTTGTCTAATTCAGCCTCCTACGGAGGGGTCATAGGTCTCCCTATAGTGTCTGAGCCAGCAGAGTAAAGGTGTGACCTTGAAGATGTAGCAGTTAGAAAAACATTCCTCTCTTATCAGCCTTAGTTAGAACAGACTGTTGCTAGTTAAAAGAAAGCTTACTGAAGGAAAAAAAAATCAGTGGAAAATTTGCTTCATCCTGGCTCAAACAGTGAGTTATTCTTTACTATAAACATGCGACTCCTGGCATTTGGTACCCACCAAATACTATCTTAAAGCTTTTATAGTGAGTAAATTGAGCAGTTTTAGTATTAGAAGGCTTTGCACAGTTGTTGTGTATTCCTTTAGTAAAGAAACAGCTGTGCATGGACTTGGGTGGTCAGTGTTCCCATGTATAGTAGAATTCACTGCAGCAACACCTTTTCTGGAGGCTGGGATTGCTTTGATTCATAGTGCTGTTAAATAGGAAAGCAGGCTTTTGGTTCTGGTACTAATCAAAAGAAATTGAGTACTAGCTTGTAAGTGAAGTCCTGGTAATATTCACCAGCACCACTTTTATCTTGAAGGTTGTGGCTGTTTACATTGACAGTGCTTTAGTTTGTGCAGTGGATTTCAAATACAACCAGTTGGATCTGATGTGTTTGATCTGAAAGCTTGTTTGATTTATAACAAGCATTTAGGAACAGAAAACCTTACCCTAGCTTAAGGACTTAAGGTTGCTTCTCGAAAACAAGACCTCTGGGTCTGACCTACAAGTCTCATAAATATTTAAGAATAGCTGCTACTGTCTAGC